TCTCTCTCTCTCTCTCTCTCTCTCTCTCTCTCTCTCTCTCTCTCTCTCTCTTTCCTTCCTTCCTTCCTTCCTTCCTTCCTTCCTTCATCTATCTATCTATCTATCTATCTATCTATCTATCTATCTATCTATCTATCTATCTATCTATCTATCTATCTATCTATCTATATCTACTTGTAGGCTGCCCTTCTCGCCTAGAGCAGACCTCTCGGCACTTGGGGGGAGAAGAGGTCGCATGTGAAAAAATCAAAACCATTCCAAATGCTTTCTTTCAGCCTTATTATTCACACAGACTTAAAACATTTGGTTATATCCAGACGTTCAATTTGAATCGTTCTGCTGGCTGGGGAATTCTGGGAACTGACATACACCAGTCTAAGCATGTTGGTTGGGGAGTTTTTGTTTTAATTTCCTCCTTAAAACTTGACATTTTGGAGTACAGCAAATGGGGAGGTGAAGGAAAAGGCTTTGGGGGCCACTGGACACCTGCCTGGAAAAAGCACTGCTAAACTGGGTTAAATTTTTCAGGAGGGACATTTAGCCTGATAAATGTCACCAGGATCCAAGAGGACACAATGCCTGCCTGCCTTGAGCTGGGTAGCCTCTGGGGGTGAAGTCCTGGATGGGCTTCCCATTGACCCCTGCCAGACATTCTGCTGAGGGTTAGCGGGCAATGCCCCCATCCCTGGCCCCCTCCCCCTGGCACAACCTGGTCCCAAACGTGTGGGAAGCAGCTGAAAGAGAACTGGTGCCAGGCAGGGGCAAGAGGGGACCTCCAGGTCTGCCAACCCCTCGTCCTTCAGAGAGAGACTTGCCCCCCCCCCGCTAAAGCCTCCTGTCCTTGCAGGTCACCCCTTCATCATGACCGTGGGCTGCGTAGCTGGTGATGAGGAGTGTTATGACACCTTCAAAGATCTTTTAGACATTGTCATCAGTGACCGCCACGGAGGCTACAAGGCCACCGACAAGCACAAGACCGACCTGAACCATGAAAACCTGAAGGTGGGGGCAGTGGGGGAGCTTGCTTTGCTAAGGGGGGGGGTTAGGAACTTCAGGGAGGTGCTTGACGTTTAAGTGTGCAAAGATCAAAGGATGTGTATGTGTGCGGCTCCCTGGGTGTCCCTGCGTAGCCCCAGGCAGGTGCCCCCCAGGTGTGTGTGGGGAGGGCAGGGAAGGCACGGGGTCTGACAGATTCCAAAGCCTCAAGGGGCTGGGGGGGGGAAGGTCAGCCTGGGCAGAGAGAGGACCCACGGCTCTCCTTCCCTGCAGGGCGGTGATGATCTGGACCCCAACTACGTGCTCAGCAGCCGCGTGCGGACCGGCCGTAGCATCAAGGGCTACACCCTGCCTCCCCACTGCAGCCGGGCTGAGCGCCGGGCCGTGGAGAATCTGTCCATCAAAGGTAAGAGGGGAAGAATGGTG